GTTTAATAAATAAACTTGAAGGTCAGCCCATGGTGAGAATTTCCATGTTACCACGACAACAGGGTGGATATCTAAGTGTGATTATTCATGTAGAATCAGACTGAGGAATAAAGCCGGCAGGGCGTTTAAACAAGAGATGAACTCATTGAGTGGAAAATAACTGCAATCCTGGAAAAGTGGTGGAGTTGATCTGAGATTAAGGGTGCTCCTTCTATTGTGTGGCACCTAACAGGGGACAAAGCAGATCCTAACTCACCAACCACAGATGTATGTGAAATGCTTCCCTGCTAGAGGCAATTGGGTCAAACAATCCTATTTCCGTTCTATATATAGTCGTCTTCTCAGGTGACTGTGGTATAGCCGGATGGCCCCATTAGCCACATGTCACACCTGCATTGTGTGGGTAAGGATCTTTTCTTCCTCACAACCTGTGTGGATTTGAACTCTATCAAGTCAGGAATGACCTGCAAAAGCATACATGTTGATAACCCGAGGCCCCTCTTAACCACCTTGGTTTCCAATTTCTCCTGTGTGAAAGGAAACCATCTCTATGTTGTGTCAGAGACAGGAGTCGTTTTTTTATTGTTGCCTTGGGCTGTAACAGACAGTCCACATGTGAAGGTCACACAGCTGATGAGTGCCAGGTGGACAATGCTAGCAGAGGGGAAGCACCCTTAATGCAGCATTGTATGGTCTAAACACACTGAGTTGTTTATTCCTTCACTTGCTTGGGGAAATTTGAAGCCTGCTGAGGACCTTCGATTAATAGACTGTTGTTTACTTGATGTAAATAAACAGGCAGCACCATTGAAAATACTCTACTTCTTCTCTTGGTCTTTTGCTGATTCTTTGGTTGTCTTGAACAAAGCAGTTGTTGTTATTAAGAGTCTGTAAAGTCCATTCACTTTGTGTGTGTCCACAAAGACCTGTGAGACACTGTGGGATTTTCACTGCTCTGTTTTAATATTGAAAGGCCCCTAGTTAGGCCCCATGCTTTGAGGCTGATATCCAAACAGAACTAAAAAGCACTCGGCTGGACCTGACTTTGAGGGCTTGAGGAATCTTGATGCCCATCTTACTGCATACCGTGCAGTCCATGGCTCCTCTATGAAGAGACTTTCTTTGAAAGGTCACAATTATATCCTCACTACAGCTTAAGCATATAGCTGTGTTTGAAGTAAATTGTGGTACCTCTGCTCTGGAATCTACCTCCAATAAACAGCCTAAGCCCAAGGCACATATCGTCTTCATGCTTGTTTCAGATAAAGCGTTCATACAATTAGACTTTTGAAGATACCAAAATGACTTCTGCAGGGCAGGAACTTATTATTACATTATTGCTAATGGTTGATGCAACAAAATGGGTTTATTATGTGGTTTGAAAGCTGCCTCAGTGTTTTCTGTAGAGAGACAAAGCTACAAAGCACACATTGCGATGTTCAGATGGCCAAGGAGTTGAGAGGTTAACAAAATTCAAACAGAGCTTTGAATCTGCCTGTTTAGGAGCAACATCTGCAGAACCCCAAAAATAATACTAATTGTACATTTTGCTCATACTTTGGTACTTAATAGACGATTTTGCTGCAAGTGTTTTTAATAATATCTTCATTCATGACTATCAGAATCTAGAGCCATAGCTGTCTCTTCACTAGGCAAGAAGGTCTCTGTCTGTATTCTCTTTGATTGTTTACAACACACTGTATGTTCTCACCAAGTCAATATTGTACTGGTTCAAGTGGCAACACTGTCACATGTTTGGCTTTCATTCAAGTCATACTCAGGGCTGGATTCCCTCACTTTGGATAAAAATGGCTAATGTAGTCATACCTCCTCAGAATAGAAAGTGATGACTGAATGATGACTTAATAGACGGTGTCTCATTCTCACTGTTTGTGTGTGTGTGTGTGTTGGGACTGTGGGGAGGGAAGAAGGAAGGAATTTGTCATGTTGGCTTTTGGAGTTTCATTAGCGCGTTTTTTTTTTTTTTCATTTCCTTTGGTTTAACCTGGTTGATGTTTGTTGTGATTGTGGACATGAGCAGCCAGCTCCCACAAACACATAGCAGCACTCATTAGTTCCAGTTATTAGGAAAAGGTACTAAACAAGGCTATACTACACTGAAATACACAACTCTGTAAGCTAACACACCTGGCACTTACTGTACCTTGCTTTCAGGCTCTTTGTTGTCAGAAGGATTAGATTCCAACACCTGTGCATTCTTGAGATTTACATGAACTGTGGTTCAAGTTCTGTACTAGACCCGCTGTCATCTTAACATCCTGTTTGTTATACTTTCTATAATTAAAGGAAAACTGACTGAAACATAGATTAGAGAAGAAAACATAGTTTGTGGAAAGATACAATGTTTAATTTCATTTACATTTAGATTATTTACTTTATATTTATTGAGAATTACTTATATAACTTTTTTAAATAGATAAATCTATATTTGATAGTTTTACTAGTTCTAGTTTTATGGTTGTGTTTGCTTTTTAATGTGACCGATTCTCCCTTCAGTCATGTTCTATTGTAGTTGTAGAAGCATACTGTGAAATGTGGACAACATTTAGAGAATATGCTAACTTTGATTTAATAAGAGGCAGTAGTTACATTTTGCCATAAAGTTGCTAATTTTCATGGTCATCATAGCCTTTTGTTACAATAAAAAACTATTATAGTTATTATTATTATAATTACGCAAGTTAGAAAAATACATTAGAAGTCCTAAAGGCACACTTGTTCACTTTGGCTCATCTTGGTGTAAATATGTTACAACAATAGTGTTAAATAGTTTAATGCATAAGACCTAATACTTAAACTAGTGTGTATCCAGTCACTGTTTGCCTGAGTGAAAGAAGTGTTTCATGATGGAATGAAGTTTTCTCTGAGCCCTTATGATCAAGGACACTGTTGATACTGGATCACTCAAAGAGAAATGTCATCCTTGGCAGAACAATGGCTACAGGAAATTGGTTTTGAGCTACAGGCTAGCAGACAAAAAGAAAAGAATGGGTCGTGCAAAGTGACACTGTACGTGATTGGCAGCCTTCAGATGAATGAAATCACTGCTTACAGTTTGAATAGGTTTTTTAAAATCCATTGAAGGGATATTTAAGTTTATACACCAGTTGGTTCTGACCAAGTATTCTAATTGGACAATGATCATAAGTGCTGATATAGGCCAAAACATCACAGGGACTTTCTAACAGAGTGTATCGCTCTGCCTAAGCAAGTTGTTCTGAATACTGTAAATTGACATTGCAGCTGACAAGAGTTTGTCCTGATTTATCCAGCTGGTCCCTGAACTACTTGCTTGATGTAGAACTGTTGTATAAAAGGAATATCACTAACAAGGTCAAGAAGTTGTACTGTACATCACTACTGCTGCGATTGTCATCTGGGTTGACCTGAGACAACATTGTCTCAACACTGAAACAACTTGTCTCTCAAATGTGACTCTTAAACTAAGATGTTTCCTACTACAATTCTTTTTTTTGCCACTGATAGATCAGATACGTAGTTGTTTATACTTGACAATTAGTGCATGAGATATATGAAAAATAACTTTTTTTTATTAGGTCTCATGTGAAGTGAACTTTAATGAATCATCAAAGTTATGCAAGCCTTTTTTAAATCAAGTGACTTACAGGAAAGATCAAAGCACTTGACTTTTTGAGCAGCTTTTAGTTTAGAGACAAGCTGCTGCTTGACAAAGGCAGCACCAAAACCACACTGTGAAAGCGACTAATCCTTCTGATCAGATTTTGTTTTTGCAAAATTTTGTATTTGTTTTCCCCCCCCCAATGAAACCAATTGTTCTATAGAAGAAGCTAGCACCATACATTCATCTCTAGAGAAAGGATGGAGGATGTATCTGCCAAATTAAGTGTGTGTTTTTGCTCTTCCTGCTTTAGAATGAGTTTGGCCCAATTGAGTGAAACCTCATGATGAAGATTCAACGATTTTTTTGACCAGCCAAGGTTTATTTGAAATGCAAAAGCTCATCAGGGATAAGCCCCCTATACCTTCACCTCACCTCACTGATTCAGTGGATGCTGTGCCTCACAATGTTTCTTTTAACACCTTTAAAGAATTAATGAGGCAGATCGATAGCCTTTCCACAGCAGCAGTAAAAAACCAACTAGATATATTAAGTCGATCTTCTGCAATGAACTGTGTGTTTTGTTTTCAGAAAGCATACCCTTATTTGGTTGAAACCATTCTTCTCTCTTCATTGGAAAGATTGCTCTGTTGCTAATAATACAGTAGCATTCCCTGCTGATCCCTATAATGTGTTTAGACGGTTAGGTTAGAAACCAAAGTAGTCGCTGCTGTGTTTAGTCATGTAGGTTTTACCATTGTCCAACAACATGAGACTATAAATACTTCCAAAGTAAACAAGCACATCCAGGAATCTGCAGCCTGAACCATGAGTTCATGTTATACCGTTTAACTCTGAGGATTCAAAATGCACACTAGCTTGGCAACAACCACGGAAAGCAGTTGCCGACACCCAAGTTCAGCCTCATAGCATCAATTACATGTGGAATTCAGGGCATTTGACAGAGTGTTTTCCTGCATAACAAGATAGCAGAACTGGTCCTTTTCTGTTTAAATATTAGAGCATTCTTTCCATTCTCCCCTCCACTGATGACCTGCAGGATTGGTAGTGCTGTGGGAAAATTTTCAGATGGGTGCCAGCTAAGCAGTATGAAATGCAGATGCACAATGTTTTGCCTTTGCTGTGTTAGGCTTTTGAGGACCTTTTGTATTGTTTAGACAGTTCTTGGTAAAAAAACAAACAAACACGCATGTGTATGTGGTGGACTGGTTTTCATTTTGCAGGTAAATAGAGGAAATTGCTTTTTTCCTGTCCCATGAATAGAAGTAGACCTGACTGTGTTTTGTGGGATTATTTCCATGGTTTTGCATGAGTGGCAATGCATTTCTGTTTTCTTGATATGGCTGAAAGTAACTGGGTTTTTTTTTTCTATCGCCAGGGGCCCTATAGAGAGGATTCCAAGAATCTCACCATGTTTAAGGCAGTGCTGAAGAAGAACAGAGATGGAGGAAAGGGGAGCAAGAAAGATTCAGGTATGTGGAAGATCTTGGGGAAAGAAAAGGCCCACTAGGTTTCAGTAAACAAATACTTTATACCACGCTGGCTTACACACAAACTCTCTTTCAGAGACAGACGTGGAAATACTTCTGATCATCTGATTTTCAGTATCTGTAAATTAACTTCTTGCTGTGGAAATGTTTTCAAAGAAGACACCCTTCTTAGTAAATATTCCGATTTAAGGGGTGAAGGGAGTTAAAGCTAAAGTAATTTGAAGAGAAAGTTGAGATAGAAGCACATAAACCATAATCTTAACTCTGCACTTAAGTTTGTCATCAAGCCATCGTCTACAGCTATTCCTTAATATTTATACTGTCAATAATTTAACTTTACCACCTCTGTCTGTGAGGTGAGCGCTATGTAGTTCTGAGTGATTGCTTGCTTTAAGGGCTCGAGAACAGGTTTGAGCACATGGAAAAGAATATACAGTTCAAGGTAGTTGTGTACTTAAAGCTAAACTCAAATAATATTGCTGAGTGACTGTGACGAAATAGTGGTTGTGCTGTTCTTCTTATAAAGATTTAACCTCAATGTTTAGTGTTTACAAGATAAATATATAATAAATAATGTGGAACTTAAATCAAACATTAGTAACAGAACAGTATATACATGCTGCATGCAAAATGTATTGGTCCTTTAGTTAAATATATAGCTATACAATGCCATTGATAAAAGACAGACTGCAACACGTAACATAAAGCTCTTGCCCATTATGGTATTGACCATTGCAATAGGGCTGAAAAATGTATCCTTTTACCATCTCAAATGGGATGTGTGTATCCACAATAAAGCAACATCCCAGTATGAGGACGTGCAACCTCAGTCAAGTGACCTGAAGCACAAACTTGTGCTGACTAATCTACAACAATAGTCTCTGATGTCACAATCAGTAGCCATAGAACTGACCAATGTGCATGCAGTGTCAGTGAGTCAGTGTGTAAAAAATGTACGGTCTACAGGCAGCACAGATACCCCGTCATAATGCTGGATGCTGATGTATTAGTTATTTTAAAATTTTAATTTTAATTGATGCACATAAAAAGACATTGCATTTAGCTGCATTTCCCAATATCATTTAGCCTTAATTTACAGTATTTGTTGGGATGATGTTAAGCAGGTTTTAACTGTGTAGGCTTACACACTCTCAAAATAATTCAAAATTCATAAAACCATCAACACGTATACACTTCTAAAATCTAAATACGTACATTTCACTTTGACTGTAGAGGCAACACAGCCGTTGTGTCATACCAGATGTTTTCTTTTCCTTTTTTGAAATCTGAAGGGGTTTTTTTTCAACATGATTCAACATGAGTCACACTCATTGTTGACTAGTCTCTTGTTCATACAATGGCCCCCTCAAATGAGACTGTCTTGACACAGCAAATAGCCATTTATGCTTACCGTGCATCTACCAGCCAGGACTTGATCTACTGCCTCTGGACCGGTTTTTACTGGTAGTCTGGTTCAAACAGTACCTTTTTACAGAAACATGTCTAATAGCTATGCTCTCTCTGCCTTTGTCTGATGTGATTGTTTCACTCAACAGTCAGCACTAAAAGAAAAGACATCATTCATGTTTATTGCGCTCCAGTACATTACAGAGGGAGGGGTGGTATTGAAGGCTTGTGTTGTTTTATATCAAGTTGTTGTAACCTGTCTTCCATGGATGAATCACTCAGATAACACAGCTTCCCTGTTATCCAGACCCCCCTCCCATCCCACACACACACACACACACACACACACACACACACACACACACACACACACACACACACATTCATACTTAAACACATTAGGTTTCTGTGTACGTGTTGGCTAGGAGCAGCAAAGTTTTATGGCGGGATACAGCTCCTTTATCCCAGCCTTACCCTCCCAGTTGGATCTCATCCATCAAGCTAAAGCAGCTCTGTCTCCCTTTCTCGTGTTGAGACAATAAAATCTGGCCGCTCCTTTCTGTTGTTTAGGGCTCTTAGGACAGATGATAGGTCACAGAGGTACAACAGCTATAACAGTGGTCACTTTGCCCTTCTGTTGTTCCTGCATGGGGCAAAAATCAGGGAATTTCTCTTTTTTTTAAGGCTTCAATAGTTTCTTAAAGGTTGGACTAAATGAAAGATTGAGATTGTTGGCAAATTGCCTGTAAATACCAATAAGGTTGTCAAAAATTTCAATAATTTTCTTACAATTTTTGTTAATTAAAAATAAGTTATTGGTCAGTATTGGCAGTATATGTGTTAAGAATAGCATAAGAAGTAATGACTCTGTATGTGTTATATTTCCATATGATATCTCTGTGTGTTTACTTGTCTGTTGTCCTTGAGGAGGAGTTGATGTGTAAATACAGGTCCATACTGGGATCTGAAAGGCAGTTTGAAACACAGATAGAGGAGCGTGTTAATCAAATGCGGTACACTGCAGAGCATTTAATGGCCTCTGAGACAAGATAGTTCCATATTGCCCATAAAATATTCACTTCACCTTCTGTGAAGCTTGAATGAAGATTTCATTTTTATCCCAAATGGTTTGTGAGAGAAAGTTGTTTTAAAATTAAATGTCTGGTGCAAGGGATTTTTTTGAAGTGCTTTATTATTCGTGTTTCTATTTATATGCCATTTTCAAACTCGACCATGGTAAATGTTTGTTAAAATGTGTAGGTATATTATCAGTTTTATTATGTGTAAATATTTTTCTGTTTTATAAGTCATGGTTGGGATTGACATTTGTGTTTGTTTTGTGCTGATGAATGAAAACTACGTTAGTTTGTCCACCAAATTATTTCTCACAGTCCTGCTTGTATTTTAAGGCTCGACAGATGTATAAGAGAGCTGATGGTACTTGACAAATATGTGCTGATAATTTAGTAATGAAGTATACGTTTTTAGAAGTATGCAAATAAGAAAACTAATTTAACAGAACATATGCAGACAACAATGCATGAGCATTGTTTTAATAATTAGGCTCCCGTCTACTTTTGCATTGCAATAATGGTGAACTGTCTCCATAGAAAATATTTCAGCTTAAAACTTCAGTATATAGGCTGCAGATTTTTCCTCTTCTAATTAATATAAGTCTTAATGATCCCATATTGGTTGGCCGTTGTTCTTAGTCATACTGTACCGACGTTCCTTTCTTCAGAAGGACCAGAAGGGCAAAGTTTTTATGAAATCTGCTCAGCAACATATAAAGTAAGTCAGTGGGAGGAGAGACCTTGATAATGGTATAATTGCAAAATAGCTCAGCATATGTTGCTCATGACATGGTGGCTGTGGACTGGAGGCAACTTTAAAGCAGTCAAGGAAACTTGGCCTCCATGCCAGATACCACTGCAGTCATTAGCTGTCCTCTGGGATCTCCCCATTGCCAAGACCACAAAAAACACACAGCTTGCTAATTTAGTCCCTCCATCATGTGTTCCTCCTAGATCCTTCCACCTCCTTCTTGCTCCCTCCGTCTTGAGTCAGTCTGTAAGGAATCTGTGTGGAATTGGTCTTTTTAATCCCTTTTAAGTACTCGTTTTTATGGTCTGCCATTCCACAAGTGGGATGCGAGTTTGCTGTGGCTTTTTGCCTTTGATGTCAACATGTTCTGAGAAAGGTTAAACTGTAAGAAGGCTTCACTGGAGTTAATAGATTTTGGACCCCAAGGCACAAGGAGATTATTATATTTTAAAGAATCTAAATGATTTTTAATTGGTGTTTTCTTTGAGGATAGAGGCCCCCTTCAGAGTTTACTGCGAGTTTCACCTATGACTTCCTATTAAATCACAGCAGTATCTGCTTTGTAGTTCACTGCAAAACAAATTACTTGTTCTAAAGTTGTAGAAATGTTTGGGTTAGTGCTGCATTTTGTAGATGTGTTGCATCCTGTTTCTCAATGCAAACATTCTTCAACATCATTGCTCTGAAGTAACTTAAGTAAGCGTATAGTAATTATAGGCAGAATACACCCTGTGCGTGGAGGTGGCTTTGCTATATGCACCGACAGAGTTCCTTAGACACCACTTTATTTCTTTTGATATGTCAGTGTTGCTATTTTTTTCAACATGAAAGCCAGTGCAGACATTGCCTTCAGGCACATGGGGTGATGATAGTGCATGTTCCCTTTAAGAAAGTCACATGTCATCAGTTGCTTCTTACCAGTCTATAGGAGTGATAGTGGGCTTATTTTGATAACAGCTAAATCAATTGAAGCAACACTAGTTTCAGACTGTTTTGAAGTTTTATTTGTGTAATGAAAAATTATCATGAAGCCTTTGCATAACCCTTTTTGGTAGACACTTTGGAACAAGTTTGCATTTTCCCTCCATTATTTCCACTCTCTTTTCAAGGAAAGTGGTCTGCTGGCTTTCTCTATTTATTTATTTTTACTTCACAGAGGCCCACGGCTTCTTTAAAGTAAATACATTCAAGGGAAGTGTTCTGTCTCTTATTGTTGCTGCTACCCTGGGAGTGTTGTAAACAAGTATCTGTTCATGGTACGACCGAAAAAACAGTGTTTTTGACTTGACTTAAATTGCTTGGTGTGACTGCATCAGCCTCAGAGGGCCACCAACTTGGTCTCTAAGCACTCGTTGAGGCAGCTGCCAGACAGTTGTCTGTCTGTTGTGGGTGACGCAGTGTTAATCACACTACCATGCTTTGCCGCGCACTCTTTGTGGCTGATAACGGATTCAGCTGTTTATTTCTCCAACCCCCAACATACACACACAAGCCATGTACACAAACAGTTATGCAACCATCACCAGTTGGCAGGGCTTCTCTCAGTTTGTTTGGCAGTGATGGGGACAGACACCACTTGTGCACCTGGCTGGACGGGAGGCAGCAGTCTTCTTGTTGTCCGCCAAGCACAAAAAAAGGGGGTCTACCTCTCTGCCCTGATTAACTTTTTATTTCCCGCTGTGTATTCTCAAGGACAATAGCTGTCCTTTTTAGAATACTCGCAGCATTGACACCAGATTCTTTAAAGAATA